AAAACGCCCAGGTGCAGATGGGTTCACAGCCTAATTCTACCAGATGTACAAACAGGAGCTGGTACGACTCCTTCTGAAATTATTCCAAACAATCCAAAAAGAGGGAATCCTTCCCAAATCATTTTATAAGACCAACATCATCCCGATACCAAAACCCAGCAGAGATGCAACAAAATAAAAAACTGTTCCAATATCCATGTGAACATCAATGCAAAAATCTTCAATAAAATACTGGAAAACTGATTGCAACACCACATCAAAGAGCTTATCCACCACGATCAAGTAGGCTTCATCCCAGAGATGCAAGGCTGGTTCAACATATGAAAGTTGATAAACTTAATCCACCACATAAACAGAACCAAAGACAAAAACCACATGATTATCTCAATAGATGCAGAGAGGGCCTTCAACAAAATTCAACAGCACTTTATGCTATAAACTCTTAATAAACTACATATCAATGGAATGTATCTCAAAATCATAAAAGTTATTTATGACAAATCCACAGCCAATATCATACCAAATGGACAAAAGCTGGAAGTATTCCCTTTGAACTCTGGTCCTAGACAAGGATGCCGTCTCTCACCACTTCTATTCAATATAGCATTGGAAATTCTAGCCAGAGCAATCAGGCAAGAAGAAGAAATAAAAGGTATTCAATTAGGTAAGGAGGAAGTCAAATTGTCTCTATTTGTAGATGGCATGATTGTATATTTAGAAGATCCCATTGTCTCAGCAGAAACTCTCCTTAAACTAATAAGCAACTTCAGCAAAGTCTCAGGATAAAAAAATTAGTGTGCAGAAATCACAAGCATTTCTATACACCAATTACAGACAAACAGAGAGCCAAATCAAGAGGGAACTCCCATTCACAATTGCTACGAAGAGAATAAAATACCTAGGAATACAACTAACAAAGGATGTAAAGGACCTTTTCAAGGAGATATAGAAACCACTGCTCAAGGAAATAAGAGAAAACACAGATGGAAAAACATTCCATGTCATGGTTAGGAAGAATCAATACTGTGAAAATGGTCATACTGCCCAAGTAATTTATAGATTCAACGCTATCCTCATTAACCTACCTATGATCCTCTTCACAGAATTGTAAAAAGCCACTCTAAATAACCAAAAGAGAGCCCGCATAGCCAAGACAATCGTAAGCAAAAAGAACAAAGCTGGAGGTATCATGCTACCTGACTTCGAATTATACTACAAGCCTGCAGTAATCAAAAGAGTATGGTACTGGTGCCAAAACAGAGATGTAGATCAATGGAACAGAACAGAGGCCTCAGAGGCAACACCACACATCTACAACCATCTGATCTTTGACAAACCTCACCAAAACGAGCAATGGGGAAAGGAATCCCTGTTTAATAAATGCTGTTGGGATAACTGGCTAGCCACGTGCAGAAAGCTGAAACTGGACCCCTTCCTGACACCTTATACTAAAATTAACTCCAGAAGGATTAAAGGTTTAAACATAAGCTCTAACACCATAAAAACCCTAGAAGAAAATCTAGGCAAAACTATTCAGGACATAGGCATAGGCAAGGACTTCATGACTAAAACACCAAAAGCATTGGCAACAAAAGCCAAAATAGACAAATGGGACCTAATTAAACTCCAGAGCTTCTGCACAGCAAAAGAAACATCATTAAAGTGAACTAGCAACCAATAGAATGGGAAAACATTTTTGCAGCCTACCCATCTGACAAAGGGCTAATATCCAAAATCTAAAAATAACTAAAGCAGATTTACAAGAAAAAAACAAACAAACCCATTCAAAAGTGGGCAAAGGACATGAACGGACACTTTTCAAAAGAAACATATATGAGGCCAACAAATATATGAAAAAATGCTCACCATCACTGGCCATCAGAGAAATGCAAATCAAAACCATATTGAGATACTACCTCAAGCCAGTTAGACTGGTGATCATCAAAACATCTGGAGACAACAGATGCTGGAGTGGATGTGGAGAAATAGGAACACTTTTACACTGCGGTGGGAATGTAAATTAGTTCAACCATTGTGGAAGACAGTGTGGCAATTCCTCAAGGACATAGAAATAGAAATTCCATTTGACCCAGCAATCCCATTACTGGGTATATATCCAAAGGATTATAAATTGTTCTATTATAAAGACCCATGCACACGTATTTTCGTTGTGGCACTGTTTACAATAGAAAAGACCTGGAACCAACCCAAATGCCCATCAACGATAGACTGTACAAGGATAATGTGGCACATATACACCATGGAATACTATGCAGCCATAAAAAATGAGTTTGTGTCCTTTGTAAGGACATGGATGAATCTGGAAACCATCATTCTCAGCAAACTGACACAAGAACAGAAAATCAAACACTGCATGTTCTCACTCATAGTCAGGTGTTGAACAATGAGAACACATGGACACAGGGAGGGGAGCATCACACACTGGGGTCTGTTGTGGGGGACTAAATCAGGGACAGTGGGGTGTGGGGAGTTGGGTAGGGATAACATGGGGAGAAATACCAGATACAGGTGATGGGGGGATGGAGGCAGCAAACCACATTGCCATGTATGTAGCTGTGCAACAATCCTGCATGATCTGCACAGATACCCCAGAACCTAAAGTACAATAAAATATATATATATGTATTTAAAAAATTAAGGATTATACATCATGACTAAATGGGATCTATAGGAGGAATGCAAGGGTGCTTCAATACGAAAATCAATCAGTGTAATATACCACCTTATTAGAAGGAAAGGAAAAATCTAACAAAATCGTTATCAAAAAAGAAGCTGAGAAACCATAAGACAAAATTCAATAGTCTTTATTAGACAAAGGTCTAATATCCAGAATCTACAAGGAACTTAAATTTGCAGGAAAAAAAACTAACAACCCCATCAGAAAGTGGGTGAAGGATATGAACAGACACTTTTCAAAAGAAGACATTTATGCAGCCAAAAAACATATGAAAGAAAAGCTCATCATCACTGGTCATTAGAGAAATGCAAATCAAAACCACAATGAGATGCCATCTCACACCAGTTAGAATGGCAATCATTAAAATGTTAGGAAACAACAGATGCTAGTGAGGAAACAACAATGTAAAATAGGAGAGCTTTTACATTGTTGATGGGAGTGCAAATTAGTTTAACCATTGTGGAAGGCAGTGTGGCAATTCCTCAAGAATCTAAAACAAGAAATACCATTTGACCCAGAAATCCCATTACTGGGTATATACACAAAGGATTATAAATCATTCTATTATAAAGGCCGATGTACAAGTATGTTTATTTCAGCACTATTTACAATAGCAAAGACTTGGAATCAATCCAAATGCCCATGAATGGTAGACTAGATAAAGAAAATATAGCACATATACACCGTGGAATATCATACAGGTAAAAAAAGAATGAATTCATGTCCTATGCAGGGACATGGATGAAGCTGGAAACCATCATTCTCAGCAAACTGACACAAGAACAGAAAACCAAACATCACATGTTCTCACTCAAAAGTGGGAGTTGAACAGTGAGAACACATGGACACAGGGAGGGAGACATCACACACCGGGGACTGTTGTGGGGAAGAGGGCAAGGGGAAGGAGAGCATTAGGACAAATACCTAATGCATGTGGGGCTTAAAACCTAGATGATGGCTTGATGAGTGCAGCATACCACCTTGGCACATGTATACCTACACAACAAACCTGCACATTCTGCACATGTATCCCAGAACTTAAAGTATAACTTAAAAATTCACTCCAAAAATATGAATAGAAGGGAAATTCCTTTTCATAATAAAATATATTTATAAAAATTCCAAAGGTATTTTATATCAAATTGTGAAAATTTAGAAGCTAATGACCTAAAATCAGTGGGAAGAAATCCAAGTATATTGGCTTTCACTACTGCTATTCAACATAGTACTTAAGACCCTAGCCAAAACTATTAGATAAGAAAGAGAAATAATATAGCAATTTGTATGTTATGCATATATTTTTTTAAAAAATTAATGATTATATGTCATAACTAAATGGGATCTATACACGGAATGCAAGGGTGGTTCAATAAGAAAGCAATCAATGTAATATACCACCTTATTAAATGGAAAGAAAAAATCTAACAAAATGACCGTCTTAATAGAAGCTGAGAGAGCATAAGACAAGGTTCAATACTCTTCATGATAAAAAAAAAACTCAAAAATATGAATAGAAGGAAAATTCCTTATTATAATAATATGCATAAAAATTCCAAAGGTATTTTATATCAAATTGTGAAAATCTAAAAGCTTATGTCCCCAAATCAGGGGGAAATGATCCAAGTATATGCAATTTCACTACTGCTGTTCAGCACAGTACTTAAGTCCTAGCCAAAACAATTAGACAAGAAAGAGAAATAAAAGGCATTTAGGTAGGAAAGGAAGATGTACTATTTCTATTTTAAAATAACAGTTCTATATAAATAAAATTCCATACAACTCTCACACACACACACAAAAACCAGGAGCTGATAAATGTTTTCAGCTTAATTTTACTGTGTAAGATTGATACAGATATCAGTTGTGTCTGCTTATATCAGCAATTGAGCAATATGAAAATAAAATCAAGGAAATAATTAAGTTTGCAATAGCATCGAAAGGGCCAAAAGTCCTAAGAATCTACAACCAAGAAGATGAAAGACTGAAAACTATCAAATGTTGCTTAAAAAAAATAAAGAATACCTAAATAAATGGAAAACCATGTCATGTCAAAGGATTGAAGGAATCAAAATTGTTAATACGGCAATGCTTCCAAAAGGTAGAGTCTATGCATTCTAGCCATTTGACAATTTTATATTTTCCATGATGTTTGGTGCAGGTTCATAAACACAGTATGTAATTAAGATGCTTGTCAAACATTGCTGACCAGACCATTTAAACATCCCTAGTAAATTGCAGAAGGATTTGATGAATCACACAATGAACAAGAAACCGAAATACTGAGCTGTTGCTAATATCTTACCTGCTGCATTTTGATCAGGAAGCAATCGATAAAGTCCCGAGGATTGTTAACATCCAGTGATGCTTGGTGTTCTTTTATTTTCTCCCAAACATAGCTTTTTGTAAGAGCAATATTTTTAAACAATTTGTTGTGAGTTCCTGGGAAATAATCCAAGAGGAGAGGGAAACTATTGCAGATCTAAAAGAGAAAAAAATATTGAATATAAACAGGTCATAAGACATATGTATCTTCCACCAAGCCCTGATTAGAAATTATAGCTATAAATATGAATAGAATATTGTGTCCATTTTGATGGGGAAATTTTTATTGTGCATGCATAGTAATTCTCTCTACCTAAAGACTGGAGGGAGAAAATTTTGACCAGGGAATCAAAGATAATAATAATTATTTTCTTCACTCATACATCACTTTTATTGTCTAAAAGTATTTCTATATCAATTTTCTCATTTTTAAACCAAGTCTTCCCTACAACCTTGAAATATAATATGGCATGAATTACTATGATTTATATTTAGTTGATGATTCCAGAGGTTAAGGGAGTTTGGTCAACTCATGGAGAACACAAAGCTAGAGCTCACTGTTTTTACTTTTGTCAAGTAGCTTGAATAATGGAATCAGTGTTTTAGAAGTGGGAGCAGCTCAAAAATACCTTAAAACCCAACTGTGCACCTGGGTGTTTTCTCTAAGATCACACAAATTTTTTATTGCTGTCAAGTAGCTTTGAAAATGGAATTAGTGTTTTAGAAGTGGGAGCAGCTCAAAGATACCTTAAAACCCAACTGCGCACCTTCAGTGATTTCTCTAAGATCACACAATTATTATTTAGGCAGAATGTAGGGCATGCCAACTCAGGAAAGGGTAAAATTTGGATGTTTGTTTATGGTTCATACATCATAACACCAACTCTTTTTCTCATTCCTAACCCAGCTGCCTCATTAGCCAGGATCTCAGCTGCAGCATCAAACACCCCTGCCCTAATCAGTGTTTCCTGGCACCTTCTATGGTCACAAATATTCTCCCATTTTGATGGGAGATATTCTTTCCCTAAATTAGGACATTTCTGCAAAGTAATGTGAAGAAGAGGTCAGTAAGTGTGGATTGGAGGATAAGCCTACTGAGTAATGAAAGTCTTCAGAAAGGCCCCAGATGTCCATGAAGTGATATGGGCATGATTTTGGGCTGTCACCAAAGTAGTTTATCAAAACAGGCTTTGGGATTTAGTGGATAAACCACTGGTCAGGAAGCCAATAGACTTGAAAGCAACCCTTGTATTAGGGCATTCATTTTTTGTGTGTAAAATAAAAGGCTTGGTCATCTTTCCTAGATGTTCACTTCATAAATTTCTGAGGACTGTGGTGTTCAAACATGCACTTCATGCCTTGGGAAACCACCAAATAGAATTCTGGACTTATCAGAAAAAAGAGCATAGGTGGTTTCCCAGGAAGATAAAACCTTGGCCTTACCTGGATCCATGAGGAGCTCAGAATCCTGAAGTTTTCATTGAACCTTTTCATCAGGGTAAGAAAAGTCTCATCTTTATAATCAAATCGATTCTGGAAAACAATGGAGCAGATCACATTGCAGGGAGCACAGCCCAGGATGAAAGTGGGATCAAAGGGTAAGGCTAAAGATTTAAAAACAATTGTAAAATACGATTAAAATGTAAATATTTAAAAGACATGCATTTATCAAGACATAAAGGAAATTTATAAATTTAAACAATATCTTACAAATGCCTCATATGTCCAAAAGAAAAAATCAACATGAATGAAATCAACATATCATTTTTACCTTAAATATGAGTTGTGCATTACAATCTAGCTAAACAATGTCAGTTCGCATGTGGTAATTCATATCCCCTGCTTTTACTTAAACTCTTTTAACCAAAGGTGTCTTTTATTTTGGAAGGAAAAAGAAGACTTTTTCAAAATCCAAATAATTCAAGTTTTTAGAGGAGAATCACATCTGTCTGCAAAGTCTCTGGACGATAAAGCACAGAGCTAGGAAGAGAAAAGTTGGGGACCTGGAAATGTCTTATATATAGTGAATAGCTGAAAGCATTGTGGGCTGAACCAATAGAAATAAAGTCAGGGAGATTGTGAGTGAATGCATGTGTTTGAGGAACAAATGTGAAAAGCAGATACATCCATGTGATATGAGAAGAAAAACTAATACAAATGAGCATTAAGTATAACATAGATTTGTTTATCTAAATAAGTAAAATGGATAACTTTTTATTTCAAATCTAAATTCCAGTAAGGCTAACCAAAAAGTAAATTGATAAATGGAATATTTTTATTTCATTTTTCAATTTGTAAAAAATGAATTTCCCTCCTGATGAAATAATGTTTATCATTTCCAATCATCCTCCAAATTTAATTCATTTGGGCAAAACTACTGTTTTGTGGATTCTGGGATATTAAGTATACTCATTAAGATGTTTTAATACAGTTTTAAATTTGACCATAAGTTAGGCCAAATCTATAATTTTACAGGTATAGAAATTATTTAAAAGATTTTTGTTTTTTGGTGAGGGAATCTCTAAAATGAAATTGCTGTAACCAAGTGACTAGTGAACATTAATGGAAAGGGCTCCCAAATTCACATCTATAGCTCCTAAATAAAGGTGACATGAAATGAAAGAGTTCTGAATAAAGTTGGAACATTGAAAAACAGGAAACCTACTGAGTTAGCTACTTCTATAACAGGCTTCTTTAAACATTGCAGGGCTCTAAAGTTTCACAAAAAGTGTTTTTTAGTCAAAGGGAGGAAAGGTAATGTGGGAAGCCTTGGTGAGTGTGTGTGTGTTTGTGTGCGTGTGTGTGTGTGTCTGTGTGTGTGAGATTCTCAAGTACAATCTGATTTCCAGGGTTTTTTGGTCATTGCATTTGGGAGAGTAAATTGAAAAAGGTAATTTGATATCCCAGCTGATAATCATATTGATTACAACAAGAACTTCATAGGTGAATAGGATTGGCAGTGGGACAAAAATGATTATCACAAATTTCAAAGCTAAGATCCAATACAGGGGAGAAAAAGATGAGCAAAACTGAAAACGTAGCCTAGTTAAAATTAAGGAAGAGAGGATAAAGAGTTTTTCATAATAGTTAAAATCTAGTTAAACAGATCATTTACAAATTAGTATTTGTATATTTTGCTGAGTTATACTATGGAACATATTTACTCAAACATATAAATTGTTACAGTAAGTAGTGGTTAACAAGAAGTAATTAATCCTGACAGTTTTCAAATAGGACTATGTTTCCTGAGAAATCAGAATTGATGAGAACTGTACTGAGATATACCTAAGAAAGTAAAATCATACATAGTGCCATTGCTGGCTAGAGCTGAAGGCATGGACCTGAAAGGAATTCCCAGACATGTGAGTCTGATCATATGAAAAAAAAGCTAATTAAATGAAAGCATATGTCACTTAGTTCATGTTCCATAAAAGTTCAATGGGGTCATTTCCACCATGTCCACTTTTCAAGTGTTCTCAGGTGAAATGTTCTGGTGGCGGTAACACAGATTTATGCTATGGGGGAAACCTTCTTTAACTCTTTTCAAAAATGAACTCAATACCCTTAGTTATAATTTCTGATTTGGAAACCAGGAAACAAAATTGAGCAGAAAATAGGATTAAATGATCTTTTATCCCTACACCATATGAACCAACACATCTGTACAGGCAAAGCACAGATACACAAAACCTCCCTTGTCTCTGTGCTTCAAACCTGCTTCTACCACCTGAGGGCTGACAACCAGGATGCACAATGAAGATCTGGCCACCCCTGAAATGTTTCCAAGGATATCAGCGAAGACAGCTGACTGTTAAGGTCAGTGACGCAGAATCACCCACACTTGTTTTTTCTCAACTCCTCCACAAGGCAGCGGGCTTCTTGTTGAACACGGTCCTCAATGCTCCTCTTCCCCATCCCAAAATTCCGCAATGTTGTAAGGGAGAAACGCCGGATCTCCTTCCATCTCTTTCCACTGCTGAAAATGATTCCTAACAACAACAACAAAAAAAGGGGGCAGAAACTGGGAGAATTCACAACCAAGGAAGAAAGAGCTGCAACACTCGGCAGCCACGCAGATAGGCTAAGCTGTGTGGAGAAGCTCTTTAAGTCTCTGTTTTCCATCCTCTTCATCCCAATTACCAAAGCTGACACAGGAATATGTGCACCTACCAAGTCCTTTAGAAGTTCTTTGAGATACTGGGAACATGCCTCTTCCAGAAAACTCCTCTCCATTATCAATCAGGGCTTCCTTCACTGCCTCATATCCGTGCAACACCACTACCGGCTTTATGCCAAAATACACGGTGAACACAGGACCATAGACTTTTGAGAGCTGGGAAAGGAAATGCAAATAGCAGCAAAATAAGTCACTGTTCGCTCCAAATATTATGTGTGATTCAGACTGATATCATCATTGTATCTTTATGTTTATATTTGCCACACATAGATTGGATATTTCTGAATTTTGTAATGAATGTGATGGTGATTGTTACAGCTGCTACTTATAGATAGCCTATGATGTGCCATGGAATGACCCAGGCAATTGGTACACAAATCACAGTTAATCCTCACTTCAACACATTCAGCACATTCATTTACCCTGTTAAAAAAATGAAGAAACTGAGGCCAGAGAATTCCAAATTCATTCTCAGAGTCCAACAGGTAATATATAGAAGCTCCATACTTGAACCTCTGCTAATTTAAACTCTGATGCTTGAGCAATTTATCACTCCTCCATGTCCACCTTGAGGCCAATACCCAGCTAAGGACTTCAAGGTCACCTGTAAAGCTCTTGCCATGAGGATTCTGACTCAGCAGTCCTGTGATGAACCCTAGAAATCTGTATTTTCAGTGTCACCCAGGCGATTCTAATGCCCAGTTCAGTTTGCAAGTGCTGGTATTACCAATACGGAAACATGAAGCACCACAAAGATAGAATCAGGACATTCAGCGTCTCCTGAAAGAACCATTTTTTCCATTCTCCAGCAACCTTGGCTACAGACAACAGATTTGTGCAGAATTCAATTCTGTTACCACTAATTGGACCCTAACTATTTACTTCTTTATTACATGCACCTATGCTTGTCCTGAACCCATAGATATTTTTGTTTCACATCAGGCATCAAATGAATCTTCAGAGAAGTTGAATTTTCATGGCTATTCTGAATAAAACACAGGACTACTATAGTAGAGGACTTATTGTGTGAAATTTCTAATCACACACACTTCCCTTTAGTCAAAAATCATAGAGAAACACTATGAAGCAAAGAAGGGAAACAGCACTTCAAACTTTTGCCACTGTGTTACCTGATTCTGTCATACAGTGACCCCAATGTTTATGTATCAACAAAATGCATCAACTTACTCCCCTATTTCTGACAGTGACAGACTTAAAAAGACAAAAGAAACATCAAAATTCAGAGGCAGTGTTTTGCTGTACAATGACCTGTTGCAATAGTGTGCTTCCAGGAATATATTTTATCTAAAAATAACAGTCAAATAACTTACCCTTTGCAAGTGACTGGGGGAACATAAAGCATACTTACATTGCTGAAACATTTGCAGATGTCCTTAACATCTATCTGTAGGATGTTTCCAATAATAGGAAAAGGAGTGGGGCCAGGAGGGAGCTTCCCTCTCCCAGAGCTCTGTCTCCAGAGCGAAAAGAGAAGCAAAAAGGAGAGACAGAGCAACAGGACCACAAAAGGATCCATTGAAGCCTACTCTTCTTACTAAGATATTTGTGAGCTTGCACTGCCAGGCTTTTATAACAATCCCTTGCTGATTCAGTGTGTCTCTTTGATATGTAAAGTAAGCAATCATCTAGATCCAATGTGTGCTTTTTTTCTGAGTGGACTTTGGCCCACGGATAGAGATAAAATGTTTTTCTGTTCTTCTCCTTCTTTCCAGTGCCAATCTAGGAGATTCTGGTTTAATTGTATTGGATTGGAGCCCAGGTATTGGTAATTAAAATAAAAGACCCTGGGTGTTCCAATGTGCTGTGATGATGTAGAAACACTGAAGTAAATGATTCCATGCTAGAATATACTCAAAATTCAGTATTCTCAGATGAATCACCAGTTGGGAATTTATGACTTTGAGGGAAATCAGTGTATTCTATATGTTCTATATAAAAAATGTACATTGTAATGCTACATCAAAAAATAGGAGACTTACCCCTTGATAACAAAAGCCTTTCAAATATTTAGTATAGTTCACTTAAAATACAGCTGCCTAAACATGAAATAGTGAATATAACTCATACATATTGAATGACCAAGGATATATAAAATTATTAACTAATAAATGTCTATTTTATATATTTAAATGTATATAAATAATATTCATAAATATGTTTTTATGTTATTACATAATATTATGTTCTTATTACATTATTGTAATAATAGGTGATTGCTTACTTTACATGTGAAAGAAACACACACTGAACTATTAGGGAGTGTTACATATATTATTACACAATAATAACATAAATACATATTTTTATTTTTATTAAATATATAACAGAATATACATATAAATATATATTCGTCATTAAAGAAAAACCACTGGGATATAGAGATGATCATTTTTTATTTTTCAAATGGAGAAAGAAACTTTGGGAGAACAGGACACCTGTCAGGCCATACAGCTCACAACTGATAAAACTGGCATATGAGCAGAGATTTTCTGATGCCCATTTGGGTGCATTATCAGTTACACGAGAGCTGGTTCAAGAACAATTTGAGAAAAACAAAAAAGAAAACCCAGACATTAGTTACTCTGAAGATACACCACATTGACTCTTTAGAAAGCAACAGGCTTCACGTTAAATAGAAGCTCATTATTTGTCTATAAGGATAGAAGGACCAGAGATGCTCAAAAGAAGAAATAAAAATTAGGGTTTGCCCCTCTGCATCACCTCACAGGTGAAAGTTGTTCAACACTATTAAGGAAAGGGCCAATCTCACATAATTTATGGCAGAGGGCTTGAAAATCTACGGCTTCTTCACCTCTTAGTCACCTTCAGACATGACTGCTTCTATTGTTTTCAGTCTGTTATTTTCACAAATAATGGAATGTAATCATATGCAGCAAGAACGAGAAATTATACACAGAACAACAGTTGTGGATTCAGTAGAAGATGGAATGTAGGGAAATCATTGACTGAACCCAGGGCACAGAACAACTGCAATGTGCAAATCTGAATGGGAACTGATCGTCAATGGTCATGAAGAACTAAATACAACTGGATTTATAAACATTACTAGATCACTAATGACAAAATGTGTGTACAAAGGCATGCTCTGAAAAGATTACATTTATTCTAAATTGAACAGTACAGTTATTTCCAGCTCTTTCATTAAGAAAATATTAAGACCCAGTTACACAATGTTTTATGGATTATACTTACAGAGATTATGACAAATTTACAGAGAATTTTCATATTCATCACATCTCTTTTATTCTTTAAATTATCTTTGCCCATTGTAAAATTATTCCCAGTTTAGAGAGGAGAAAGATCATGGAGATTCAGAACTTTAGCTAAGGACACACAAAATGCAAGTGACCAAGCTGGGGCTGGAAATCATAACCCCTGCATCTTGCTGCCTTCCATCTAAGCAAAACATTCAGTAAAACTGGGGCACCAAGATTTACTAAAGTTCAATACTTGTGGATTAATCTAAGCAGTGACTTTTAAAATAAAGATTAGTTAATAATTCTAGCACCAGTTGAGTAAAATGTGGGTCACATGTGTTTGGTTTCATAACCTTTAAAAAGTGAGTGAGTCCAGGTCCTGATGAACGCTTTATCTAGGGCAAAGGGAGGCAGTAATTTACTGCCCCACTCACATAGGTATAAGCCAGTTTAATTGGTTAAAATAAGCTCATTCTCTCTTTAGAGCAATAATTTTATTCCTTGAGAGACAGCTATCCTTGCTCTGCTCCTCATTTCTTCTCTTGAGTTGAGGCTCCTGCCTTGACCTTTGTTTTATAGAATAAAAGGAACATAGATAATTTAAAGACAGATGGGATCTCTGAGATCTACTAGTCTAAATTTTGCTTCTCTTTTCAGGAATGAGCAATTGGTGACTCAGTGAGTTAGGGCATTATTAATGCATCAGTAAAAGATTTTGTATTAGAATTCCAGTATTCCTGCTTGCTGGTTCAGTGAAATATTTGGCCAGAGTTGTGAGTTAGAGTGGGGTTTTTTTTTTAACTAAAATTTAATTTTTATAGCAGTTTTAGGCTGCCAGCAAAACTAAGTGGAAAGAACACAGTTCCCACAAACCCCTTCCCAGCACCTACAGATAGTCGTTCGCACAGTCAACAACCGCCATCAGTGGGGTTCATTATTTATAGTCAGTAATCCAACAATGAGACATAATCGTCAACCAAAGTTCAAAGTTTACATGGGGTTCACTCTTTCTTTTGTACAGTCTATACATTTGACTGATACATGATGCCATATATCCAACATTGTAGCATCTTACAGAATACAGTCACTGTCCTAAAAATTTTCTGAGCTCTGCCTATTCTCTCCTTTCCCTGCAAGTCCTTGGAAACAAGTGAACCATAGTTCACTTTAGTGTTGTCATAGTTTTGCCTTTACTATAAGAGATTGTTATATAGTTGGAATCACACAGTATGTAGCATTTTCAGATGAGTTTCTTTCACTTACTAATATGCAGAAAGTTTCTCAATGTCTTCTTATGGCTCAAAAGCCCACTTCTTCTTACCACTAAGTAGTAATACAATAATATTCCCTTGTATTGATGTACCACAGTTTATCTATTCATCTAGTGAAGGATATCTTGGTTGCATCCAATTTTGGCAATAATGAATACATTTGCTATAAATGTCCATGTGCAAGTTTGTGTATGGATATAAGTTTTCAACTCATTTGGCAAATATCAAGGAGCACAACTGCTGGATCATATGGTAAACACAATTTAGTTTTGTAAGAAGCCACCAAACCCTCTTCCAGAGTAGTCTGTAATATTTTGCATTCATACTAGCAATAACTAATAGTTCCCATTGCTTCAAATCCTTGCCAATGTTTGGTTTTATCAATGCCTTAGATGTTCATTACTGTAAAGGTGTGTGTCATTGTTGTCTTCGTTTGTAGGTCCCTAATGGTGTATAATGTTGAACAGTCTTCATGCTTATTTGACATCTGTTTATCTTCTTGGGTGGGATATCTGTTCAAATCTTTTTCTCATGTTTCTATTAAGGGTTTCCAATTTTTTATTGTTGAGCTTTGAGAGTTCTTTGAGTATTTTGGATGGCAGTCTTTTATAAGATGTATCTTTCGGAACTATATTTCCTTTTCTAGTTCGACTTCTCCTTCCCTTGATAGTGTCTTTTACAGAGTAAAAGTTTTTTGTTTAACAAAGTTCAGACTATTGATTTTTTGTTGTATGCTTGCTTTTGTATTTGAAAAAGCATTGCCAAGGTCTTCTATATTTTCTCCTCTGTTATCTTCTCACAGTTTTATGGTTTTGTGTTTTACATTCAGTTCTATGAACACTTTTGTGAATAGTATAAGATCTACATCTAGATTCTGATTTTTGCAAAAAATCTTAAGATAAGTGGGACTTAATTAAACTAAAAAGCTTCTGCACAGCACAGAAATAATTAACAGAGTAAGCAGACAGCCTACAGAATGGGATAAAATATTTGCAAACCCTGTATTCAGAAAAGAGCTAATATCCAGAATTTATAAAGAACTCAAACAAGTAAATAAAACAAAACAAATAACCCCATTAAAAATTGGGCAAAATTCCAATTGTCACAGGCTATTGTTGCATTTGTTTTAGAGGTCTTAGTCACGAATTATTTGCCTAGGCCAGTGTGAGAATTTTTCCTAGGTTTTCTTCTATGATTTTATGGTTTTAGGTCTTACATTTGTCTTTAATCCATCTTAAGTTAATTTTGATATGTAGTGAGAAATAGGGACCGAATTGCATTCTTCTCCTTATGGCAAACTAATTTTCTCAGCACCATTTTTTGAATAGGGTGTCCTTTCCAAAGTGTATGACTTTGCCAAAGATTTGTTGGTCATAGGTATGTGGCTTTATTTATGTGTTTTCTATTCTGTTCTAATGTAGGAGTAAGGATTTCACATTATTTTTTATAAGGTTTACAGTAGAGGGACTCTATTTTGAAATTTAATTTATTTTCTTTAATTTTTAATTTCTGTGGGTTCATAGTAGGTGTACTTATTTATGGAGTGAATGAGATATGTTGATACAGGCATGTAATGTGTAAAAACCACATCATGAAGAATAGAATATCCATCCCCTCAAGTATTTATCCTTTGAGTTACAATCCAGTTATACTCTTTTAGTTATTTTAAAATGTACAATTTAATTATTAATGACTATAATCACCTGGTTTTCCTATCAAATGGTAGGTCTCTTTTGTTTCAACTATTTTTTTATTCATTAAGCACCCTAGATACTCCCCACCCTCTCACTACCCTTCCCTCCCCCCAGTAACTCTAATCTCTGTTAGAGAAATTATACTCACATAGTTACAAGAGGCTGGGAAGGGTAGTGAAAGAATGGGGGATATGAAATGAGTTAAATTTCTTTGATTTTTAGAACCCACAAATAAGTGAAAACATGTAAGTCTTGTCTTTCTGTGTCTGAATTATTTCACTTAACATAATGATCTCCAATTGCATCTATGTTGTTGCAAATGATTGGATCTCATTCTTTTTTTATGGCTGAATAGAGCTTCTTTATAAATATATGGCACATTTTCTTTATCACTGTTCTTGCATAGAATGTTCTATAAACGTCTGTTA